TTTATATAAATGGCGGCTCCAAGGCCTGTCATTAGTTCAAAATGTACTTACAAAGATTGTTCTGCCCCGAAGGGTTTACACATGGTATTTTTTCAGTACATCAGCATTCCAGTGATTCTTCAACTCAGTTCCATCCAACTGCCGAAGTCGGTATGTCCCTGGCTGAAGCTCATCATAAATTTCATAAGGTCCCTCCCATGTAGCTGAGAGCTTCCCATGGATTCGGCCTTTCTGAACTGCAGCAGCATTCCGAAGGACAAGATCCCCAATTTTGAGAGGCCTTGCATGGACCCTTCAGTTATGGGAGATGAGGTCTGAACTTATCCCGGGCATATCAGCTGCCGAGAAAGCAAACACATCTCTGTTATCCCGCAGGAGCTGAATAAGTTCACAACGGGTGTTAGGATCAAGGTCCATCCCGATTGTTACACATTTCTCAGCATCTCCTTCGGCCAACTCTGCTGTTTCAGTCTGTTGGTCCATGTCCATTGCTGATGGACTGGACTCTTCAGAATCTGGTCTGCTGCCAATGTCAGCAGGTGTCCCAGTCTTTGTGTTCTTCGGCTGGCTCTCTGAGTCTTTCGGCTCAGATGAAGAGTCAACCTTTTCCCTTTCGGGACCTTTTTCTCTGGGCACTGATCCTTGGGCCGAAGCACTTAGGCCTTTCGGCTTTTTTGTGCTTGGCTCTCTTTCTTTTTCTTTCTCCTCCTCATCCTTGTCGTTATCTGGGCGACTACTGGATGGCTTGAGGTAGTTGCACCTTCGGGCGTCCTTCTGGTTGCCCTGTATCCTTTCGGGGAAGCCGGCGTCTGAGACATAAATCATCAGCTGATGATAAGTTGAGACGACCCCTTGGATCTCGTGAATTATGGGTCTCCCCAAAATCACGTTGTACACTGAAGGAGCGTCGATGACCAAAAACTCAATCATGACGTTCCGGGCTGCCTCATCGCAACCGATGGTGACAGGAAGTGTCACCTTCCCATCTGGATAAGTTGAAGCCCCATTGAACCCGGATACCGGATAGGGTACCGGCGTAAGGTGCTTGGGCTTCAGCTTAATTTGGTTGTAGGCCTTTCGGAACAGAATGTTTGCTCCGCTGCCACCGTCAACAAGGACCTTACTGACGTCGTGGTTGGCCACCGTGGCGATGATCACCAACGGATCCTCGTGAGGGAACGTAATCCCCCGGCAGTCGGCGGCTGTGAACGTCATGTTCGGCACCGGCGACTGGGGAGATTGAATGTCAGCGTTGTTCACCTGGTGAGTCAAAGCTCTAAGGTGACGCTTGTGCTCCCTCCGAGAGTATATTCCTCCCGAGATAACATTGATCGGAGGGAATTTCCCCTCCGGTTTTTTACTGTTTTTCCGGGGGAAATCAAGGTCCTGCCGAGGGTCCTTTGCTAACCTTTCGGATTCTTTTTTCTCGCGGTGATCCGCGATGTATTTTTTCAAGTATCCCTTCCGGACCATGTCTTCTATCTGGTCCTTCAGCTGGATACACTCTTCAGTGTTGTGGCCCGAAGACTCGTGGAACTCACACCACTGATTTTTATTTTTTCGCTGATACCACTCTGGGAGTGGTCTCGGCTTTCGGTAACTCTGCTCCTCCTTCGTCACACTGTAAATTTTGGCGCGTGGAAGAGAGAGCGGAGTGTAGGACTCGTATCTGCCTGTGTATGAGGCAAACCTGTCCTTCTTTAGGTCGCTGGCCGAAGATGGCTCCGAGGCCTTTGATTTTCCCTTTGCCTTATGGCCTTGGCCTTCAGACAAGGGTATTTGCCTCTGTTTCCCTCCCCCGGATTGAGGTTGGGTTTTTGCTTTATTCCATTCTTCGGCTCGGATGAACTTATCCGAAGCACTAAGAGCTTCCTCCAAGGTCTGCGGGGTATGCATGACCATGAAGTCTAGGAATTTTCCTGGCTGAAGGCCATTCTGCATTGCAAAAACAGCTAGCCCCTGGTCCAGCTGAGAGACGCTTGATGACTCGTTACTGAAACGGGTCAGGTAGTCTCGGAGGCTTTCAGTTTCCCCCTGTTGCAGACCCATGAGCTCTGCGGTAGTCTTTTCTCGGCGGTTTGCCGTGGAAAACTTGCTCCTGAACTTGGAGGACAGATCATCCCAACCTGTTATGGAGCCTTGCCTTACTCCCTTGGAGATCCACGCTTGCGCGACCCCCTTGAGAGTGGTTGGGAAATATTTGCACCAAGTTGCCTCGGATCTGGGGCAAAGATGCATATGAGCCTCATACGAGGCCACGTGGTCCTTCGGATCCGTGGTCCCGTCATATGTGATATGCGACGGTATTTTAACCGTGGGTACGCGCTCTTCTAGTATCCATTGCTCGAATGGTGAACTAGCGGGAAGCATAATGGCCTTGCCCTTGTTCCTGGCCGAAGGGACCGCGCTCCGCCCTCTCAGAGAGGTAGGAGTGGTTTTCGTCCCTGGCTGGGAAGTCTGGGCCTCGGCTGCAGGGAACGTGAGGCGACTACGCACGCTCGGTTCCTGGCCGCCGAGTCGGTCAAGGACGCTTCTGCGAGCAGTCTCAGGTTCCCGGCGAGCAGATTCTGGCCGAGAAGCTGAGCTGCTGCTCTTATGCGCTGCTGGTCTTGAGGATGAGGATCCTTAAATAATTGAGAGTTCTTCTTCCTCTGTTTTTCATTTTTCCAAGAATCCTCCTCCCACTCTTCCAGTTCCCGGAAGGAAGGAAGCTTCCCACCGTCATGGTCTAACTTCCTCCGCTGATGCCGGGTATGCGGAGGAGTTCGATCACGAGGCGGTGGCATATTCTGTGCCCTCATTGCCTCCATGAGTACTGCCAGCGCTCTTGCCACCTCTTCCGAACTGGGCCCCGTCAAAGGGGTCCCCGGCCGAGTGTGGGCATGAGGCCGTGCAGCCGATGGTTGGCTTCGGGACACCGAATATGTCCTATGATCAGACTGACCCCTGCTAGACCGAGAGTGGTCCGGCCTATATTGAGAGTCATGCATTATAGGAGATAGGGAATCCTCCTTGTGTGATCCTCCCCCCGAGCCGGCACCCTTGGGAGAGTTCCGGTCCGGCGAGGGCGATGGTGTAGGGGTTTTAGGCTTTTCGCCCGCTCCTTGACGGAGGCTTTTGCTCTTGCGGTTCTTAGCCATGGCTGCTAAGACAATTGCAAGATGATCTTGGTTAGGAATTTGGCTTAAAGATTTTTGAAAGTCTTCCCCACAGACGGCGCCAAATTGTTTCGGTTGAAAACAATGGGACCTTGCCGAAGGTCCACTAAAATGGAGAAGACTGGATTCGATCCAAGCTGTGTTGGGCCGAAGGTTTCCTGCACAGTGAACACACGTAAACTAGCCTCGGGGGTGTTTCCGAGGAAGGCCCCTCCGATGCTAAAGTCAGTACAATGTGTAAAAAGGAAGACACTATGCAAGAGAGTTTGTAGCTTGAGGCTTTTGTGGAGTATTTCTCAATGCAAGAATGAGCATATGAGTTGGAATAATCCGTGTATGAGATGATGCATGTGTTGTTGTGTCTGATAGTGTATATGATGTTATGAGATGTCTTATGTAAGAATATGACTCTCCCCTTGAATGTGTTAATATGAGGGCTTTTATACCTCATCATATTTGGAGAGGTTGGGCTTTAGCCCAATTGGCTTACTTTGTGGGCTGACTTTTGACTTTTGAGCAATTGGAGAGTTGAACCTTGACCTTGGGCTTTTAATTGGATCATTTAGTGCTCAGGCCCAATTTTGACTAAATTGGACCCAAACAGTTAATAATATCAGTTCTTTGTTAAAACTCCAACTGATCACATTTTAGTATCGATATGCTGTCGTTTCAAGGATGCAGGAGACACTGCTTTACTAGCAATATAAACTTCATATGTATGGACATAATACGCCGGCATGTTTAAGAGACTACGAGTGCTCGAGATGAGGAAACATAATTAATCAAGTGAGTTAAATACACATACTTTACTTTGAAGTCTGGTTAGCTCTCATCATTGGAGCCAGGCTGAGAAATGCCAGATATTTGGCATAATTTGCTTTTTCCTGAAGAAACAAGTTTGATTCATGATTAATGTTGGTGGGTACTGTATTATGATTAATAAATAAATAAGTAAATATAGAAATCAGAGTTCCAATCTATAGTAGCTCAATTCACAAATTCAACGATTAATCATCTGCTCATGTCTGACTTTGGGGTTTTTATTAAAAACTCTACTGAGCAAACACTACTCTGTTGCTGAACTTTACTGATCAGCAATGCTTTGTTCTCAAAACTGCAAAAAAAATAAAAAATAATAATAATAATTCAAAAAAAAATAGACAAAAAACGAAAACGTGGTTGTATTGAACTATTACATGTTACTCTTGCTAATATTCTCTCAACTTCAAAATTAATGTCCCTGTATTCTAATAGCACAGTACTGATGACTTAATAAAAATCAGTTGTTCAAAGCAATAATCAGTCCTCGATCATTAAATATGGGCATATATTCATATCCTAAACATGTATACATTTTTTCTATATGTTAAATTACTTGCTTACTTGCTGTCCTATTAGAAAAAATCCTAGACTCGCGCGATGAACCTTAGTTGTTTGTTTTGTCATATGCTCATACATGATCATGATCTAATACTCAAGCAGTCAAGTCTTATATAATAACGGAAGAGAACAAGAGTCAAGCAGTCGCAAACCTGTCTTTCAGTCTGACTGTTCTTGGAATTTTTGGTCTAGTGTGAGCATTTGACCTTCTCCCTTTCAGAAGGTGAGTATGTAACAGAAATGATAATTACATAATTCAGCATGAGTATATATTAAGGATTTTCCTTGCCATATGACTCATCCTGGAATCCTGAACATACTGGACTACTGGTGATTTCTGAATGCAACACAGCTGCCTTAATAGGGGGTTACTTACAATCTGACACTGAAAGCAGAAACCTTTCACAACAAGAATCCGTGCTTTTCCAACCACTCAAAACAGTCAGCAACTATGCAAAACAGTCGGTAAATTTGATCCCTGACATAATTTTAATCTCCATTTACAGCATTGCAATTACAAAGGAAACAATGCTTGATCAGCGAATACGAAAACATATACTGTACATAGTACAAGTATCAAGCAAGGATGTTCTGAAAATCTTTTACACGAGTAATAGAAACTACTTTCAGAACTGAAGGACAGATCCAGTCAACATAATTTATTCAACTATGAGTCCACTGTTATATACAAACCTAATATAACATACATCCTATTGGTTACTAACAAATAATTAAAGGTATCACCTCTCTTCTTTGTTCTCATACATCTAAATATATACTTCTATGTTTTATAAATGACAATTGGACACCTAACAACATGACGGGAGCTTTTCCAAATGAGAGAAGCTGACAAGATTTTTGCACCTGAAAGGGGATTTGCTTTCACCACAACCTTGAAACTCTGCACCTCCAAGGCACGAGAAAATGATAGACTTGTAGGTTTAACAGTAATATTCACACCTTTGGGGGCTCTTATAATGGAATTGTAGACTATATTTGAGGGACCCACATTGGTAACTCTTCTGCGGAACACTGTCATTACTGGCTCTTGCTTGTTCTTCAAGTTCAGCTGCATTGTAGGATAATTGAGAGAATCATGGCCAAATGCGGGAAGCAAAGCAGAACAATTGATGGATTTTGAACCAACAAGAACGGACAAAGAAGCCCCACTATACCCCTCCTTGCACAGAAATTGAATGTAAGGCATTTCATCCATATCATACACTAAGCCAGGACTCCTTGCTTTGAGTGGATTCACTTGACCAGCACCATAAGCAAATTCAGCATCTTTATTGAACCTTGAGCTCATAGGCCTCGCTGTTAGAAAAAAAGAAGATTTAGCCAAAGTCATGACTCAAGCATTAAGCCCAAAGAAGTATAAACCACTGAAGATTTAACTTGCCCTTCATACCAGTGGTAATGATGGCAGACCTAATGGCAGCAGGCGACCAATTTGGATGAAATGACTTGACATAGGCAGCAACCCCAGCAACATGGGGACATGCCATGGATGTTCCAGACATGAGAGTGAATTTTGAATGTTGGTTGTCACCTTTTAATCCAGTCAATGACTTCAAGGGGGTATAGGCTGCCAAAATATCAACTCCAGGAGCAGCAATATCCGGCTATATGTGAATAAATAGGGTTCAAATGTCAAATTGCAGATCATTATCAATTCATCATAATGACACAGAAGTGATTGATGTTAACATGTACCTTGAGAAGACGTAAAGATCCTGGATTTGGACCTCGAGATGAAAATGAACCAATAAATGGAGCTGAAATATTTACCTCCTGGGATCTGTATATTGTTGCTGTTGGTGAGCTGTCATAACACACAAGAAAATCAATAATTCGATACTGTTAAATTGTTTGCTTTCTACACCAAGTTAGCTTTCTTGATAAGATAGACATTATATACCTTGATTTATGGATGTAGTCATAAATCTTTTCACCAACAGTATAATTAACTATGGTTCCTGGTGCCATGAATATCATAGCAACATCAAGAAACCTTGAACTTGTGACGATAGCACCAGCGCCCCCATTTCCTTTCACCACTGAATCAACACCCCAGTCCTGTAGCTTGCATAGAACAAGCTTTCCTTTAACCTTGGAAGGGCTCATTGAATCTTCCATACAGTATCTGGCTCAGCATTGCAAATTTCTTAGTCAAAAATAAAAAATAAAAAAAAAATAATAATAATAATAAAATAAAATTAAAAAAACTGTCTGTATTCGGGACTCATTTACAATGCAAAAGTAACTGTCTCACTGGCCTCACTTGGAGTCCATAGAATGAAGTACCTTGCATTTTCCTTGTTATCTGAATTCTTTGCTGCATCCTCACCACTAACAAGACTATATGATTTCCCAGTATCAAACAAGTCTATCCCGACTCCCTGCTCAACATTTAAATAGTCAGTCAAAGGAGAAATTCCTAGTTAACTCTTTCCTTTTCTGTTGATGACAATTTGAGTGTAGCTTGCTCCTTCTATACAAGAATTTGTTTTAAAATGAAGGAAATAAAAGAAACATTATAACTTACACGCAGTTTAACAAAGATGAGCTACCTAAATAGCCTTCTATAGATACATTACGCCTATAGCTTTGATTTGATGACTATAACATTCAGCTAAAAATGTAAAAGCATATTGATGTTAACTAGGTCTTTCCCTTCTTTTCGCCTTTATGCTACACTTGAGTTTTGAGTTCTTTAAAACTTTGTACTAACAAAAAAACCCCATAAAAAACCAGTCCTAATTTGGACAGACATCATAGAATTCAAGTCCTCAAGCTTATTACCTTTTCATCCTCTCTCTATTTCAATCCCATTTTGTGATCAGCATAGAATCATTATTGTAAGCTCCCTCAGACACTCCCTTACCCACTGAACCAACATCAAACAAATTATCGATCACTCATAAGCGCCTTCTAACCCTAAACCCTTCTCGAAAAGTGGACTCTCATGAAACCTTATCTAGAAAACTTTACAAGCACCCTAATGTTAAATAGGCTCTTCCCTTCATTTTGCCTTTTTACTACATTTAAGTTCAGATTTCTTTAACATTTTTTACTCACAAAACAACCCAATAAAACACTAGTCCTAATTTGGACAAATATCAGAGAACACAAGTCCTCAAGCCCTCTTCCTTTTCATCTTCACTCTATTTCAACCCCAATTTTTGCTCAAGATAAAGTCATTATTGACAACTCACTTAGGCATTCCCATATTCACTAAACCAACATCAAACAAGTTATCAATCACTCCATAAGCACCCTCTAACCCTAAACCCTTCTCCGAAAGTGGACTCTCATGAAACCTTATCTACAAAATGCCCCATTTTAATCATTGCAATCCCAAAAAACACCGCCATTAGTCACATATGGCCACATGAAACGTGCTCGTCATCCCTTTAATCAAATATAAAATCCAGCATTATTCCCAAATTCACATACGCCTAACAAAAAGATAAATAAATTGAATTCTCACCTTCATATCCAAAAATCAAAAGTACCAAAATAACAAACCCTTCACCTCAATTTCACTTAACTGACATCAAACAAGGCAATGGGAATATAAAATGCGAAATTAATCTAATAATAAAAATACGAAGTACCAATGATTAATTCTCAACATCACTCAACCCTCATGAAACAAAAACCCCAAATTAAAAAGAGACAAAAAAAAAAAAAAAAAAAAAAAAAAAAAAAAAAAAAAAACCCTAATTTACAACAAACTGCACAATCAAACAACCTGAAAAAAGGGGCAAGAAAATTACCGAAATTGAGTTTCCATTACCAAGAGAAACCTTACTACGAAACCCACGATCAATCCCACTAGCAGCAACACTCAACATCCAAGGAGCATGATTCGCAACAGTCCCAGAAGTGGGCCCATCATTTCCAGCAGATCCCACAGTAAGAATCCCTTTTCTCATAGCATGAAAAGACCCAATTGAAATGGAGTCGGAAACATAACCGGAAGATGGCCCACCAATTGAGATACTGATTAAGTCAACGCCGTCGGAGATGGCGTGGTCAAAGGCGGCGAGAATGTCCATGTCGGAGCAACCGGAGGAAGCCCAGCATACTTTGTAGACGGCAATTCTGGCGGAGGGGACGGCGCCGCGCGCAGTTCCGGCGGCGAGGCCTGCGAGGTTAGCATCGGGAACTAGGGTTCCGGCGAGGGTTGAGGAGGTGTGTGTGCCGTGGCCTTCGACGTCGATGGGGGAGAGGATGTCGGAAGGGTCTGGGACGTTGTCGAGTTTGAAGTACCGGGCTCCTACGATTTTGCTGCATGTTTAGAAAGGAGGGATGAAAGTAAGTGAGACCGATCCACCTTCCAATCTTGAGGTATTATGATTCGATAACGACTCTATAAATGGGAATTAGCGTGAATTTAAAAAAGATTTAGACAGTTTATAGTAAACTTTAAAATTCTTGGCTTGCGCATAGATTGTCTTCTTTGAGATTTGACCTATTCTATAGTAGTTAATTTGATAATTCCATGAATTATTTAGGAACTACTTCGTATATGATATCAACCAATATCCAAAGTACATGACTACACAATCGTGCAATTCTATTAATCTTCACTTAATTAGTGACATTAAGCTCCTGATTGTCGAAATATTCATAGAACTATGATATCGCTTACATGCACCTAGAGGTGCACCTCGTGATGTATATTTTTAATACTCCGTATGTCACATATTTTGCTTAATTGCATAACATTCTATAGAGGTTATATCACATATTTTTAATACACCCTGACTACGCAGCTATACGTGTGTATGTGTGTGTGCACACTCTACATACATATGTATTCTCGAGAGTACATATGATAATATGATAATTTTGTATGTCATGCTTGTAATTGGTATTATGAGTTGCAAAAAAGCCTTCTTTGGTTGGATAGCTACCATACTAAATTACTAACCACTAATATCAATTGGTTGTTAGTGTAGCGGTGATTGGAGCTACACTTGGTAGGGAGAAACGCGTGTTCGATCTCCTGCAGCAACAATTGAGGGGGGGACTGAAACCTAACCACCCAAAACTGATCCTCAAATCTGAATTAGCTCAAAGAATAAATCGGGTGGAACACCAAAACTAACCAGTAATAACCAAACAACCATAGCTTTTTTTATCATCAAATCAAAAGGCATCAAAAAGATATGGTTTGCATGGTACAAAAGTACAAAGATACTTCGAATAATAATATCATAAGCTTTTTATTTCTAGCTTTCTACCGACCAACTCTTAAAGTCAAACTCGAAGGGTAATCCTAAAATTAAGGCAATAAAATGCATTTCAAGGAAGAATATGTACCTTTAAAAAAAAGTAATGATATAGTAGTTGTCGAATGTATTATTATACTTCCTCAGTTTCGCATTAATTGCAACACTTTTCATTTTCGGTCGTTTCATATTAATTGCAACACTACTATATTTGGAAAGAATCCACCGTTATTTTATAATTTCTCTCTCCCACTAACCCTACTTTCACAAATATTTTATTAGTTTTCTTTCCTACCAACCTCACCCACACTATTTTTTTTATTATTATTTCTATCTCTTATTAACAATACTTTATATTATAAGTCTATAATTTTCTTAAACTATGAGTCAAGCCGATTGTTGCAACTAATGCGAAACGGAAGGAGTATTAACAGATTAACTAAAATGCATTATCCAAAATTTACGACTACTCCAATTTGGGAAGCATGTGCAAATGTGCTCATGCACCAAAACCTCAATTATTGGATCAATCGTCACCTTTCCACTTAGGGCATAATGGTCACTGGTCAGTAACTTCTTTATTGTTCTTGTACTTCCTTTATTGGAGACTAAACTCCATGCATATACGAGTAATCAATTCAACAAAAAGGACTATATGAATTTGAACTTTTACATACAGGTCAACTCGACTAAAAGTTATAGGCAAAAGCCTCAAAGAGTTTGTTGATTTTAAACCTCTTAAGTATACAGGATTTGATTTGATGTGATGTCTTCGATAATCAATACTCTGTCATACAAGACACATCGTTACGTATGCAATATGAGATAAATAGTTTAAGTAAAATTACTTGTTGCAACCAGAGAAATTAGCATGGTGATTACAAGTTCCTTTCCATTTTGCTGGGGGTGGTCCAAGCCCATCATCCTTAAAGCTCTCTGACTCTGGAGTGATTCCTGGAACAAATAACTAGTAAATAAGTTATAAACAAGTTCATAATCTAGTCCCGATTTTAGACATCTTTTTTTATGGTAGGTAGTGAAAAATGACGATAGATGAACAATGAGTTTTTTGTATGAGTAAAAAAAGGTTCCGCGCATCAATGTTTATGGTATTGACTAATAAAATGATGTAAGAATAAAATTTCATCCTACCATATGATATGTAACTTTTTTAGTAAATTATTAGTATCACTCAAAATGTCAAAATCACCTTTAAAACAGATAGTAATAATAATAATAAAAATCATCATTGGTATAATTCTACTACGTATATATTACCGCCTACCAAATCCCGGCCCTAATTAAATAGTATAGTAATATAAAATATTTTCAAGCAAGATTAATCACCTGTATCAAAAAGACCAACAATGATATTACTCTCAGTCTTCAATTTTCTCTTAGCTGATTGAGGAAATCTAATAAAATCCCATGATCTTGTTGTGTGCAGCTTGTGATATTTGTTTTCGAATATCCATAGCACCTCTTCCATATCTGTAAATTATGTTAACCACATGTTACTATAAAAATATAAAAATTGAATTTACATGTTACTATACGAAGTATGTATTTAGTTATACGATTGAATAATTTAGTACAAACCAGACAATGATTTTGCTTCATGATTGAATAATTTTGCAGCAAACGCGTTGAAGCTTCTATGATAACTATGAACTATTGATTCTCTTGCTTCGAATTCACTAAACAAAGATGATCATAAACTAGTCATCAATAATTAGTACGAGTACTTATAAATTACAAAGATGGTCATAAACAAAACCTTATAACAATGGACCAACCTTCCTTTTAGATTAGAGAGTACATCAATATGTGCTCGATTTGCCGTAGCTTCATCATCTGGTGGATGATTTCCCAAGTAAACAATGTAAAATTTCTGCAAGATATCACAAAAATAAAACCACATCAGTTATATACTTTATTATACATATACTTCTATATATATTGCTGTTAAATTAATTATGTAATTTGATGTATAAACAAGCTAATTAAGGTGATGAGCAAAGTGTAGAATCAATGGAAAATATTAAAGCAATGTAGCTGCAACCTTTTCGTGGTCATTTTGGTTGATTGTGGCAGCTAAAATATTAGAGAATGAAACAAAGAAGATGATGAGAAGAATTTTGAGGAAGTTTCCTAATTCTGAAGGCATGACTTCTTTGTCAAAAATAGTGTGTGCGTGCTCTGCTTTGGTGTAGTTTATCTATTTATGCGAATGTTTTATTCACTTATTTAAAGATTTAAGATATATATCCCATGGTTGCTAAGAATGCTAACAACGAGTAGTAGTCAAGATTTGAGATCAAATACTATCTGCCTACGACACTCCCTTAACAAAGAAGTTCACTTATGTTTTGACAATGACTTTAAAAAAAAAATTGACTAGAATCATGTACGTGTGAATATCATAGTTGTATTAAAATTTATGTTATGATACTAATTTTGTACATGAAAATCCTTTCGGCAAATAAGATTTGAATATGTAAAGTCACAGTCTCTAACGATAATAATGATCAACTCAACCAAAAATTTAAGCGGATATTTCAAGTCCTATATTAGTTTTATATTGTATATATAGTATCAATTATTCAACTTATTTAAAAAGTTACTCCTTAAGGTTTGTAGTAGTTATAACTTACTAAATCTTGCAAATGGTCTAAATTAATATTTTAGATGGTTGTGAAGAAATATAGGGTGGAATTTTTGCAAAGCAACATTCATCTATCATATCCAAAACAATTGTTTGGTATAAAAAACTAATAATACTCGTAATAATAATAAATAAATAAATAAATATAATAATATCATAACAACATGGTTAACATCTTCACCCTAAAAATGTATCATACCGAGCACAGTATTATCAAGGGACGGAGAAAGTAGTAAAATTTTAGGGGTTAAGTCACTTAACTATCAACCTATGAACACTAAACTTGCAGCAACCACAAACATGTCTTGTCTTGAAATACAAGTAATTATTAAGCTTCATCTAGGTTGCAGTTTCTAATTTGAAAAAGAAATCATGTATTCATGTGAAATAATAGTAGTTTATGCAAATGCCAGAATTGTTTATTTCTTTTTTTAATTTTGGATCAATCGAGCAGTTGTTAGAGCGAGGAATCAATATTATTATTGTAGTTTTGTAGATGAGTAGATCAATGCTTAAACCCCTTGTACGTAGTATGTAAGATTTATTCAACAAATGGATAAATATAAATCCACATCGTATAACTCAAATTTAATTTACAAATTAAACTTCTCTCAAAATAAGAACTATCTCTTCATTTTTATTTTTATTTTGCAACAATGTATAATAAAATATAAAAGTTCAATCTACTTATTAGTCTTAAGATGAATTCTATACATATTTAATCTCAGTGCACCCCTAAGATACATAATACATTAATACTAGCTCTGTCTTAATTCATTTTCTCGTCTTTCTCATTTTTGACTTATTATATTTTGCATGTTGATGAACATGGGTCCTTATGTTATGTTTATTTTATTATTCTTCTCTAATCTTTGATTTTAGATCATTGTATTGTATGTCTATTTGATCTTTAGTCTATCTCAAACAACTATGTATTCTCTTTGTATATTGTTGAGGATGGTGTCTCGATTATTGAGGGCTCATTAATTGAGATTCAAGTAAGAGAGAGTGTTGTTCCTAATTTAATTCGTTGTTGTTAAGAACCAAGTCATAAACCAGTTCCCAATGGTCCTAATGAGTAGTGATACAAATTTTCTTATATTATGATCGACCTAAAAACACTTGTTTTCTTCTTTAGTTCTTTGCCAAGTTTTCATGACTTTCATATTTCTATAATGAGTTTATAACTATACTCACATATGAAAGCTAAATATATTACCATCGTTTGTTTTTTCTAGTTGCAACATTTCATTTTTTTCAATTGGCAATGCAAAAGACGAAACAAATATCTCATGTTTCTTCTTTTGGTGTATATAGTTTTTTTTTTTTTTTTAACTTATTAAAGGCAAGAAAAAGAGGAAAGCATTAGGAACCCTCCTCACGAGAGGGAATTCTTAACACGTCAGAGGAGATAATAGATAGGGTACAGAGATGAGAAAGTACAAAGAGTAATATTCATGTTATCACTGACAAGATGACTTGCATTTGCTATCCAGTCTGCTATTTTGTTTATTTCTCTATAAACGTAATTAATTTTCCATGGTTGAAACTTTTGAACGAGAACTAGGATGGGATTTGCCATTGAATAGACCAAACTCTTTTGACTGCATTGACTACTAGAAGATTATCACCTTCGATGAGTAAATAATGTTGAATCTCGTGCGGAAGAACAAGAAGGATGCCTTTATGGAGTGTTGTACCTTCTACAACAAATATAGTGGTATTGTCGAGGTTGAAGGTGCAAGTTGTGACAGGAGCTCTGGTGATTTATTTGATGATGACACTTGTTGTTGTTGAGTGAACCATCGAACGCCTTAGTCAGTCATGTACTCATGTGCAAATGTACAATTGAACGCCATGGTGTGCACTAGACCCAATTGTGCATAACCTTGACCATATTAGCCGTAGTCTTTCTGATAATTAGCCACCAACCCAGTAGCTACTAGCCAGTGACAAACCCATGTTCAAGTTTGTGATTCCCCGCCAAAACATCCGCCACCGTCTTTCTCTCTCCTCCCTTCTCCGCCACCTCTCCACCACCTCTTCCTCCAAACTCCACACCAAATACTCCTTCACTCCTCCTTCCTCTCTCTCTCCACCAAACCCTAACCCTAACCCTAATTCACCTTCCCAAAACCCCAATTCCTCAACTAAAATCCGCAAAAAGCCCCTTTACCGCCCTCCATCAACCCTCAATACCGGCGAAAAGCCCTTGCGATCAAACCTTCCCTTCGATTTCCGGTACAGCTACACTGAGAGTAACCCCTCCGTGAGGCCCATTGGGCTTCGCGGGCCCAAATACTCTCCGTTTGGGCCGGGCCGCCTTAAACGGGAATGGACTGGGGTTTGTGCTCCGGTGAAGAGTCTGAAGGTTTTGTCTGTAGATGGGGGAGTGGAGGATGATGATTCTAAGTTGGAGGAGAGGAGGAGGTTGATGAGAGAGAAACTTCTGGGAAAGCCATTAACGGATGCTGAGAAGAAGATTCTAGTGGATAGTTGTCAGAGGGGTAAAATCAAGAAGCAAGTGAACCTGGGTAATTTGAGTTTTATGGGTTTCTCTTTCTGGATTTTGGATGATTTTATGTGCACTTTAAGTGTTTGATGAAATGCCCAGCTTATCGATATTCTTTTTGATGTACAATTATTTATTTTGTGTTTCTCTTTAGTATGCTGGATAGTTTTTGGGTAGTGTGATCATAAAATTGTATGGGATGTTTGTTTAATGTGTTTGATGAACTGCCCAGAATTTGTTTGGTAAAGTTTTATGATAGTATCGTGCTAGCAAATATTGATTTTGTATGCTTACTCTGGATTAAACTTGACGAGGATATTAAATTATATGTCAAGCTTAATTCTTTTAATACAATTAATGCACTCACGTCTTTGATCCAATGATGGCTTTAGTAAGTACTTCGTATATATAAAGCTGAAAAACTCTGAAGTGAACGGTGCAACACGACTGAGATGGTTGTGTTTTGTTTCAGGGAGAGATGGTTTGACTCACAATATGTTGAATGTTATTCACAATCACTGGAAGGATGCTGAGGCAGTGAGGATTAAGTGCATGGGCGTGCCAACTATTGACATGGAGAATGTTATAACTCAGCTCGAGGTTTGTTTGCTTAAAATTACAATTACAACCACAATACAACAATTACTGTTGTCATAATGTTAAGGTGGGTTTAGAATGAATGAATGATTTCTTAGATGAATTGTGAAACATCAATTAATTTGTAAGGCTGATATTGGATTGTTATTATTATCTTGCTGTACAAGATATGATACAAGAGTTTTCAGTTTTAAGATTCCAAACATAGTCCATTAGAGTTATCTGATTAGCTTATAATCAACTATGTATGGGAGTATAGACTTGTCCTGCGCTAACATTGGAAACTGACAAGTGAGAACTAGAATTTGTTTTCTGGTTTTAAATGACCTCAATTAAACTGAACTAACAACACCATCATACAGAGGCTTAATTAGATGATAAGCTAGACATTTTTTTGCCTTAAAATGACAAACAAACTAGGTTTAAGTCACATAGATCTCTAGTTTCCCTCTATGGCCGTTGTGTTTTTTGTCTTTCTGGTCTTAGAATACTATTTCTGTGGTTTAAAAGCTGTGTATGTAGCTGATAATATCTCATTTGTTCATTGTAGGATAAGACATTTGGCAAGATCATCCACAGGGAAAGTGGTCTTCTTGTTCTGTACAGAGGTCGGAACTATAAATTTAAGAAGAGGCCTCTGATTCCATTAATGCTTTGGAAACCCCAAGAGCCTGTGTATCCGAAGCTAATTAAAACTACAACTGAGGGATTAAGCATTGAAGAAACCAAGGAATTGAGAAAAAGAGGATTAGCTGTTCCTGCATTGACTAAACTCAGTAATTTTCTGCTCTGTTGAGTTCGTAGTTACTTTATTATTATTATTATTATTATTATTATTATTATTATTATTATTATTATTATTATTATTATTTTTTTAATATTTCTAATTCATGCAATGAAAAATGCAGGTAGAAATAAATACTATGGTGGCCTTGTAGTTATGGTTCGAGATGCTTTTCTTGTGCAAGAGCTGGTACGGATAGACTGCACTGGTCTTGACAAGAGTGATCACAAGAAAATAGCCGTTAAACTTAGGGTAATTTCTCTGTGCTTCATTGATGTTTTTAGTTGTGTTGAGCAAACTTTGAACATATCTTCTAGCTATTGCGATGTTACATAGAAATTAGAGGATATTAAAGCAATAATGAATTCACTGATGAAGCTAACCTACTTTAATGACATAGACGTTTAATGTTGGTTCCACTTCAATAACAACATTGTATCCATTATGGGCAAGGGAATGCTGATTTTTGCTGTACTAAATTAAAGTAAAAACTAAGTGTACACAGGGTAAGATAGAGATCTGCTTAGGATGCTGAGAGGCCGACTGTGCAGTGAAAGAAACAAGATGCTGCAAGATGACTGGACAAGCTTCATATGTAAAGGGCGTTTTGGACTTGTGTACTTGAATTGGAAGTAACTCCATTGGGAGCTAAGATAAGTAAATAGGTTTAATTATCTGGAGGTATATATAAGGTAATTCAAAAATCAAATAAAAGTCAATGGGTGGGTTTGAATAGTCTGACAAATAAGATCAGTGATGAGGAATATCGATTCCTGAGGAAATTCTTGGTTCCTAATCACTTTTGAAGCGTCTTTTGACCATTGAGGACTCTTCACGCTCTTTTTAACTTGTCTATCTTTTAAGATAGCCAGAGCTCATTTCAGATAACCAGAGTTCTTTTTAGTGGTTGGCTAGCCAGAAATGGTGATGGCATCCCTAGCATCTGTTTACTTACTCCGATTAACATATACTGTATTTGATTGCTCCTTGGATCCGTTCTGAATTACTGAAAATGCCCTCCTTTCTGTAACTTGTATGGGCATCTTATAGAAGGGCTATATAAGCTAAGTTAGCTGAATTTTCTTTCTTAGGCATTCTTTCATCAGAAATCTTCTATCATGAAGCATAGGGAATGTAGAATCTCACCTTTGAAAAACTATTTTTTAGAGTAGACATCTTAAATACAGAGTATTTATTATGGTAGTCCAGCTCTATTAATAAGGTAGTAGAGGTGTAGCAAAGTACTGTTAATGGCGTATGAAATGAATAAGTTTGACATGTGTTGACCCCTAACTAGTACGAATTATATTAACAAAAGCCCAAACCCTCTGTGATCTGATGTCTTTTCAACTGGAAGAAATTTTGCCTCAAATTCCCTTGTATGCTTACTGTTCTGATTTAAAAATTGATGGCTTTGTTTTTATTTTTTTATAATTATTTATACATCTCTAGTTTTGATTCCTATGTTGTTCCAACTCTTCTGAGTATGTTTATACATCAATGTAAAGTCCAATGTGTATGTACTTGACTGCTGCTACAAACTTGTGTTGAATCATATAGATTTTCGTTTAGAAGGAATCTTGTTTTTTTTTTGGTTAGTGATAACATGGCAGAAATTTTGATTTTGCTACTTTCCTTCATGTCCATGAAAAGGAAGTAATAAGCATATGTTATGTCAAAAATTGGATATTGGTGGTGGATCAGTTGTTGGCAAGTGGAAAATCAATTTTCATTGTACTGCTGCTGAACCTTTTCATTGAACTGCTGCTGAACCAAACCAAGTTTCATGGACATGATATGAATTAAGATTGCCCAGAATCCACATGTGGTTCTGTTGCAGCTTTGGATGATATTTGGTGCCTATATTTATCTGAGTTTTTGCATGTCTTTGAGCAATGATTTTTATAGAATTAGATTTTTTGTAGTAATTTTTCTTGAACAATAAAAGTGCTATTTACCCAGTTAATTAGCCTTATTCCTGTGAGATACATATGCTTGTTTGCTGCAGCTCATACAATCTTTAATCTGCTTTATAATGCTGCTTGTATTGTAGTACTCTGATTGTTTATCACCAAATTTAATCTTTAATCTTTACAGGACTTGGTACCATGTATCCCTGTTACTCTTGCAAAGGAACAAATTGTAGTGTGGAGAGGACCAAACCACGAACCTACAGAGGATAGGCCGATTCTTACAGCAAGGGAGTCTGTTGAGAATTCCATTGATAATATGATTTGGGATTCTTGAGGATGTGAGCTTGTATACCTGTAAGCTCAAAGGGAACCTGGGAGCAGTGACTAGATCCAGCTTTGGTGGTACAATTTGTCTAATGTCACGGAAGCTTGGTGATGTAGATGTTTACATGGTTGATCTGCTTATTAAGCATGTGGCATTGTGGCTTCATTCAGATCTAATAGCATGTGGCTTCCCCTTTTTCTGCTTCCCTTTTCAAAAGTGCTGGCAGCCTGGTTACTAACCAGAGATATCCCCACCTTACATCTGCTAAGAGATTACACGGGTGTTTTAAATCGAAGATGATTTTCTTCTGCTATTGGACCATCCGACTAATGGACGTATTCCTGAAGATCCCCTCGCAGCGTAATGGACAAGCGGAGTCTTGTAATCAATCTTTCCCTAAAAGACAATTGTGCAATCAGAGTAAATTAGAATTTGGAAATGTTGATATTTTTGCAATGAAAAGGACTTAATGATGTTGTGGATATGAGTAGATTTTTAATTAGTTTATTTAGTTAACTATTGTAAAGTATGCCGTGTGTGTGTGTTTTGGAGTTTTATATTTCTGTGGACATAATTAGTTTCCGTAATTGTTGTTAATTAAGTGAATTTTATAAAGCATGAGCTATGCCATGTGTAGTATTTGGATCTTTATCAAATCAAAATAGTACTAATATATTCCCGTCAAAAATTAAATAAAAATAGTACTAATATATTTCACTATTTTGTTTTACTGAATTCACACTTGCTTTTTAGGTGATTGTGTTTGTTGAAAATGAAGCTGGTTGCCTAATGAAATCATGCACGAACAACTGTACGTCGTGTATCAGATGCCAAACATTCTGGAATGAAAACCAATACAATTTGCAAAACAAACCTTGATATTAATTTAACCTTGTCCGCATATGAATATGTTCACACATGACATCAATCTTTTCTTAATTCATAAGGCTATGTTATGTTGATCTTATTTTTGAGTAAAAAAAAAAAAAAAAGTTTAGGCTACGACTATTACTAGTATATACTCTGTACTTAAAAAAAAGTAAGCATTATTTAGCAAAAATAAGTTAATTAAGTAAAATCAGTTGTTAATCAGGTGTTAAAAAAAAAAAAAAAAAAAAAAAAAAAAAACCTTATAATCTAATATCATACATCTATTATTTATACAAAAAAAATTAAAATAGAATTTTTACATAGTCAAAAGATGATACAGATTAAAATGGATCAAAATACAATCTCACTATTAAAACTTTATAATGGGGAATATGCTAGTGATATCCAATTTTATTTGTAACCATTGAAAATTAGATGATACACCCGGGTGCACCATGCTCATAGTGCACCCGGTTAAACAAAAAAAGGCGGAAAGAACATATAGTGTTTGATAAAGAACATACCAATGTTTGGCAAAGAACATACCTTTAATATGTTCTTTGAGTGTGATCAGTGTGTTCTTTGAGTAAAATTATATGTTCTTTACATTATAACTTATGTTATTTAACATATGTTGATAAACATATATGTTTTTTTTGGGTTTAATAATACAAAATATGTTCTTTGAATTTGGCGTGTATGTTCTTTAAGGTCGTAGTGACGCCCAAATTCTATTTTTATTATCATATGTCATATTTAAATTACTTTTATTATCGTACATTCTTTGAGTTTGATTAGTGTGTTATTTAGGTATTAACTATATGTACTTTACAATATAAATTATGTTCTTTTAACATATGATATTTTGAAACTTGATATTGAATCTTAAATTATTTTTAATTGAAAATAATATTAGAGTAAAAAAAAACTAAATTATTAAGGGAAGTTGAATTTTTTTTGGAGAGATAGAAAACTATTTTTTGGAAAAATGATATCTTTGGTAAGGATTTTTTAAGAGGTGATCAACATTGGCATGACTCGCATCCCGACCCGATCCGGCCCGAAATAGGGTGGGTTTGGGCGAACCTAAAAATGCATTTTTAGTTAAAACTCAAATCGGGTTAGAAAAAAGCCCGAAAACCCGCTACTTTTCTACGGGTTTGGGCACGATAAATTATGATATGGCCCGGCCCTACTAGATTTTTTATCACCTCTAAATTTTTTCCGTTAATAATGTGTAATTTTTCAGAAAATTTAATTAAGTTTTTATCTCGTTCTTTTAATTATATCTTTATGTTCTTTGGTAATGCATGTTTTTGTCAAATACAAACATGTTCTTTATTAAATACATGTATGTTCTTTATGAAACACAGGATGTTCTTTCCGCCTTTTTTTATTTATCCGGGTGTATGATGAGCACTGTACACCCGTGTGTATAAACCACGGATTATGTAACCATAAGACAAGAACAATTTTTTTATATTGTCTTTTTATTTTATTTTTTTATACCAAATCAAATTAAAAATTTACAATTTTAATCATATTAAAATGTCCTTTTGCCCTTTTTCCTTCAATTTTCAAATAGCCTCCTCCACAAATTAAACCGCGTCTCTGTTACTCTCTTTCACCAAACCCCACCTCACTCCCTCTTTCTCTCTCTAGATTGTCTGATTTTCTGCCTTTTTACTCAAAAAAAATTCCCAGAATCTTACCAAAAATCAGGCAGCATAAAATTAAATTTGGTCTCTTTTACTAAAAATCCCCTGTTTTTCTGCTCTCTACTTTGTCTCCTACGATCTAGGAACTAAGAAATTCCTCAAAAATGGCGGATCATATTCTTACCATACCATTTTTGACCCATGATAATGATAATCAAACCCCAACAATTTCAGATTCAGAAAATTCCCATCTTGTTCTTACAATCGAAAACCCCAACTCAGAAAACCCCCAAATTAATTTTCAAAACCCCTTTGAATTTCTGGGTGTTGAAGGGTTTAGTGATCACCCTTCAACCTCTGCTGATCCTTTCAGAAATCATACCCTAAAAATTGATGGGGTTTATGAGTGGATTAAGATTTTAATTTGTATCCCAATTGCTGCAATTAGGCTTGTGTTTTTTGGGTTGACTTTATTAGTTGGGTATGTTGCTACTTTGATTGCTCTTCAAGGTTGGAAAGATAGGAATAGTCCTATGCCTAGATGGCGTTCTAATCTTATGTGGGTCACTCGATTTTGTTCTCGTTGCATACTTTTCTCTTTTGGGTAAGTTTCATCTTAATGTTCCTTCTTTTTTGCTTAATTGGATTGAGAATTGTTTGAAATGTTGTGTTATTTTTATGGAAATTGTAGGTAGTTTATACTGATTAAAGATTGGATTTTGAGTATTTGATGTTTTAGTTTTGTGTGGAAGTAGTTTTCAAGTATAATGTTTTTTTGGGTTGTCTTGAAAAGTGAGCAGAAGGAATTAATGATTTAATGATTGGATTTCTTGAAATGTCCTTTGATAAGATTGATCATGGGAAAGAATGTGGAACGATCGTAGTATATTCTTGGTTTTCTCGTTGATTATGAGGAGTTGCAATGATATGACAACTAATTCTGGACGGAGGGAGGATTTAAAACTGGCAGAGTTCTTGCAGTTATAATTCATAGGTTGAACTTGTGGGCACGCCCAGAATTGTGGAATTAATTCTTGGAATGCATAGATTTGTTGTGAATTCTACTGGAAATATGTGATTGGTTTTGCAAATTTTGTGATTGCTTTTCCAAGGAAGATTCCTTGGTTTGGTGTGTTACCTGTGTAAAAGCAAATTTTCAATTTGCAAAATATAAATTCAAAATAAATGAAACAAAATGTTAATTTTAGTAATATGATAATTTTGGGTACAATCTCTAATTTAATCCTCTTATTCGATCTCCACTTTGACTTTGACGTGTTCCACGGGCTATTCTTGATTGAGGGCTGTCGAGGCTTGATCTCAATCGACAATAGTTGATGCAGAGCTCTGACTTATTGTTGATGTAGACCTTTGATTTGAAATTTTGATTGAGGGCCGACGAGGCTTGATCTCGATCAACGACTATTTGATGTAGACCTTGAACTAGTGACTTTCTTGATGATTTGAAATCCTTCCTTCGTTCGTGTTGAGGGCTGTCGAGGCTTGATCTCTTCCACGGGTGATCTTCTAGAGTAGAACGGCACGTCGAATGCTTGTTGTTCTCCTTCTAGGTTTTGAGAGGTTTAGAGTTTTTGAGAGGTTTATGGCTTTTGAAAGGTTTACGGCTTTTGGGAGGTTTTCTCTATCTTTAGGATTCTCCAGGTTTCCTGTCCCCCAAATGAAATAGAGAGAGCTCTATTTGTAGAGTGTGTGACTCCTAGGGTTAGGGTTATATTTGTATTGGGCTTTTGACTTGGTAATCGTGTCCCATCTATTATAGCTTAACCCATTTATTGTGTTTTAACCCTAAAAAATGAACCTATTAAATTAAATTAAATTAAATGGGCTAAATTAATATATTTCTCCCAAATAAAATAATTCAAATTAACAGTAAAAAAACCATTTAGTCAACAATTTGACTTTTGACCCGTATCAAATCCGACGTGACAGTTATACAAATTTCACGTGCCTACAACCTGCCTATGCGTTTTCCTTTGTTTTTCTTATTGTGTGATTACTAGAGGATATTCATGGCGAAATTTTGTTGTTTTCTGTGTAATTGGAGTAGTTATGTGATGTTAATTCCCCTGCGTGTATGTTTCCTGCTTTTGTTATAAGCGAATTATTTAATATGTTGTCAGCATTTCAAGTTGAGTGTTTATCTGAAATCTTTCTATCTTGTTTTAGGTACCATTGGATTAGACGCAAAGGACGGCCAGCACCGAGAGAGATTGCTCCTATCATTGTTTCAAACCATGTATCATACATTGACCCAATTTTCTATTTCTATGAGTTGTTCCCTACAATTGTTGCGTCTGATTCCCATGACTCAATGCCTGTAGTCGGGACTATTATCAGAGCTATGCAGGTATTGACTTTACTGACTTAATTTTCTTCCTGATTCTTTGTATCTTGTAAGTTCTTGGTATAGTTATATGTCATCCTATGGGTAAACTAAAATCTCTCTTGCGCTGAAGGCCAATGAATTAGTGACTGATGTTTGCTCAATTATTTATGACTTTTGCACTTATATTATAAACATGATTGCTTACTTTTGTTTACAGGTTATATATGTGAATAGGTTCTCACCTTCATCAAGGAAACATGCTGTTAATGAGATAAAGGTACAGGAACCTGTGGCTCTTTCTGATGTCTTTTCGATACATATATTTGTCTTCCTAATGGCCTCCTGTTGTTATTCTGCGTGTAAATTTAATAAGACTTAATGACCATGTTCCATGTTGATTTCCTGATTTTCACTAGTTTTTATTGTTTTGACTTGGCAAAGAATTTTGTTGATGAAGAGGTTTGGAACTGTTTATGAATGCTAAAGAAAGGAGCTTTGATATGCCCCTTCCCTCTCTTTTCCAAACTTAATTTTCCTTGTATAGTGATTTTTGATATTTTCCTATGATGGAGGGTATTTAGCTCCTAGACTGCTACCATTCTATCGATGTTAGTAAATAAATTACGGGCGCATAAGAGACCATGATGGAACCAGTTCAGTGTTTAGTTAAAAGAAAAAGTTTGATTTACTATTTGTTTATCAATTGTAAGGCATTTGATACAGAAATGTGCTTTCAAGGACCTGTGTACAGAGAAAGGCTTCATGCAATAGATTTCCTCGTGTTCTATTATTTCCGGAGGGGACTACCACCAATGGAAGATTCCTTCTCTCTTTCCAAATGGGTGCATTCATACCAAATCATCCAATTCAGCCAGTAGTAGTTCATTATCCTCATGTACACTTTGATCAATCCTGGTACGACTTTTACCATGTGAAACTATTCTTGAATTTTACTCAGTTATTGCTGCACCTTACTTTTGGGTGAGGCTGATGTACCTTGTGCGCACTTTTCTTAATTGCATATATCCAAAATCCTGGGCAAGGCTGATTTTTTTCTATTGCATATCTAGGGGTAATATATCCTTGGCGAGGCTGATGTTTCGAATGTTTACTCAGTTTCACAATTTCATGGAGGTATTCTTTCTTATCTATTTACTTATCTTCTGCTCCCTATCTCATGGTGCTATGTGGCATTGTTGACAAAATGAAGGACAATTCTAGTAATTGGATCATTGATGATGTGATACTGTTTT